CTCAGTTAAAAGTAAATGTGCCAGTGTTAATCACATAGATTTGACACGTGTACCAAAGTTCTATAACATGTTACCATTGGGTGAAACTGGGTGAAGGGCATATGGGAACTCACTGGGCTCCCTTTGCAACTTTTCTGTAAATCTAAAATTATTCCAAAATGGAGTTTATTAAGAAAATAAAATTCCTGACCATAGTAACCTATATGTGGAAAGGGGTAAATATAATTAAAATATTCAGAGGGCCTTGACAGAGGTTTTAATTTAAGAATTTGATATGTTAAGTGTGTATATTGCATTTTAAAGGGGTTGCATTAAAAAATGGGGTTGGCAGGGCGCCTAGGTGGCTCAGTGGGTTAAAGCCTCTGCCTTCGACTCAGGTCATGATCCCAGGGTCCTGGGATCGAGCCCCACATCGGGCTCTCTGCTCAGAGGGGAGCCTGCTTCCCCCTCTCTCTCTGCCTGCCTCTCTGCCTACTTGTGATCTCTGTCAAATAAATAAATAAAATCTTTAAAAAAAAAAACCAAAACACCGAATACTGCGCTGAGAAGCTGCTCCTCACCCAGCTGTGCTTCACAGCAAACCCAAAATGAGACACACCCTGCCTTTGTGCGCGGCACATCACAAACAGTGCGTGGAAGTCAAATAGATCCCTGACAGGAGTAGATTGCCATTTCGGCCAGGTAATGAAGGCCAAAATGAGGATTGAATCTCACAATTCCAGATACCTGATGACTGGAAGAATTTTCCATAGGCATCTTCTGACTCTACATTTCAAGCCTTGTGTCTCATCCATTGCTGCCTCCCTCTGGTGCAGAGCACTACAGGACTTCTTTACTTCACCCGGGCACCCTCAACCTGTATTTTTGATCCATATTTGGTGAGCACAGGGAGCTGGCTGTAGGTGTATCCTCAGAAGCCGTGTCTACACTGCAGTGGTTAGGGGCCCCTTAATTATCTATAGAATCCACAGCAAACTACATAAACCTATCTCACCAAACCAAAATCGAATACATCCCCAACTCCCCAGACCCCCTATGTTACCCCTAAGTGGCTGTTACCACAGCCACTCTAATGCCATGTTACTGGAGAAGTGTGTCTGAGTGGAAGGCAGGATAGACTTAACTGACTTGAAAATATCTTACTTTAATATATCTTTTTTAAAAATTTATTTATTTGACAGAGAGCGAGAGAGGGAACACGGGCAGGGGGAGTGGGAGAGGGAGAAGCAGGATTCAAAAGGTTACAGAGATTTTGAGACTATCTTGGAGTTAGATGTTTTTTGGGGGGGCCTCATTTTTCCAAGTAAAGAAACTGTTTGGTGCTTTGTCTCCCTATTTTTTAGAATGCCTTTTAGACATACAATTTATTTTTTTCTGTCAGAAGCTTCCCACGGTGATTATTGTTAGTCTAACTAAGTAAAGCAGGTTTTTTTTTTCCTTTTCTTTCCTTTTTTTTTTTCCATTTTTGT